TACATAACCGGAGGAAACCACTGCAACAACGTCCGAGTTCGCCACCGCGTTTCCAAGGTATTATTATTATTATTGATACACTATTGACCGTCTACGACACTTCACAAAATCCGTCAAACAATACATAAAGGTTCCGTTTCTTCTCTCACCTTTACCTTTACGTATGCTTAAAGATGTGCTTAAAGATGGGGTTTTGTACAGTGCTTTATACTTACTTCCAGGTACCCGTGGACATGACTCCTCCGACAGGCCACGCAGAGAATGCTCGAGTCCCTGACAACCAGACGGAGACTTTCCGTTCTGAAGGCTGGAAGCGGTTCCGTGTCGAGCAGAACCACACGGATGGCGCCAACAGTACCACTGAGGTCCCAACTGTCCCACCACATGTTGGTGACGAAGAGGGAGAAGAAGTGACCCACGACTGGGGCTACACAACCGGAGGAAACCACTGCAACAACGTCCGAGTACGCCACCGCGTTTCCAAAATCCCCCGCCACAACTCTGAAACCTTCCCGGCGACAGATGACAGCTTCTCCGCTAACACGACTCATCTGGAGCCCAAGCCGAACTTCTCACTTGACAAGAAACCCAGCGGCGACGTCGCCAGCAAGGGGGCCACCGCTATGGACAATCTGCACACAAACAACTCCACAGACTTGAATCTGTACTTAGATGCCGTACTGACAGACATTATGAAGAGCTACAAGAGAAAGCACCGCAGCGGGCTGAAACGTATCAAACGGAGCAAAGCCATCATCGTGCTGGCCGCAGTTGGTGTGCTGATCGCTGGCTCTGTGGGACACGTCTACTTGCGACACATTGTACCGTGAAAGGGCCCTATATACTTTGATCCAAGCTATGCTCATCTGAGTTCTGATATACTGCTGCTGATGAAATTATACCCCGCCATATCACCAAAGTGCTGTATCTGCTCGGAATCGTGGATTTCGAAGCCAATAGCTTCATACACATTTAAACTTTTTTTATCACCAAAATGGAACGTACTCATGATCTTAGTTACAACCCATTTTCATGCGAAACAAAAGCTGGCACGTTTTTACATCTTGTATGGACAGGCCCTGTATAGGCCTACAATGTGATTCCATGCAGCATCCGTTTCTACGAATAATAAAACAGTCTTGTCGGGAAAATGTTGTCTCATTTGTTGTCAGTGTCATGTTCAACACTAAGGACAGGTATGCTTGTTTGTGTGTGTGTAGATTGTGTTCTGTTCCAGTGTGTAGATTGTGTTCAGTACCTCTGGTTCAGTACCAAGGACAGGTATGCTGGTTTGTGTGTAGATTGTGCTCTGTTCCAGTGTGGATTGTGTTCAGTACCAAGGACAGGTATGCTTGTCTGTGTGTAGATTGTGTTCTGTTCCAGTGTGTGGATTGTGTTCAGTACCAAGGACAGGTATGATTGCTTGTATGCAGATTGTGTTCAGTGCCAATGAAAGGTATGCTTGCTTGTTAGCAGAGAAAGTTCAGGTCAATATGGAACGCAGGCATGTCACGGTTAACCTGTGTGGATGGTGTTCAGCACCAGGGACAGGTGAGTTAACCTGTGTGGATGGTGTTCAGCACCAGGGTCAGGTGAGTTAACCTGTGTGGATGGTGTTCAGCACCAGGGACAGGTGAGTTAACCTGTGTGGATGGTGTTCAGCACCAGGGACAGGCGAGTTAACCTGTGTGGATGGTGTTCAGCACCAGGGTCAGGTGAGTTAACCTGTGTGGATGGTGTTCAGCACCAGGGACAGGCGAGTTAACCTGTGTGGATGGTGTTCAGCACCAGGGACGGGTGAGTTAACCTGTGTGGATGGTGTTCAGCACCAGGGACAGGCTAGTTAACCTGTGTGGATGGTGTTCAGCACCAGGTGTATTAATACCTGTGTGGATGGTGTTCAGCTCCAAGGATAGGTGTGTACGGGGTGTCTGACGTACAGGAGCGTGACAAGCGTTTATACGTGTGCATATGGTGTTCAGCTCCAGGAACAGGTGTTTACCTGTTTGTGGATGGTGTTCAGCACCGTGAGGCGTGACAAGATTATTCGTTTGAGGATGGTGTTCAGCACGAGGGATATGTTTTTGTATGTGGGTGTAGTTCGTCATCTGGGGTAGGTGTGTTTCTATAGGGTGATGACATTTTGTCATCTAAAACAACTAATCTAGGCCTTGATTTTCCTTTTATCCAAGCTTTAACTAAAAATGTCCTATCACTGATGTCTAAGGAGTAACCCTTAGCATGCTAGCACTAGTAGCAGTGGCCAGTCACAAACCACACAACTGGCAAACTTTCTGACATTACTTTTATTTAGAACCGGGGATGGACCACCGTCTCAATCATTCCAAGAAAATCCTGGCATAGTAGATATAGATGGTGTCTTTGCAAAATCAGCATACCAGGGTTCCAATTCACTAGTAATATTGATGAGTAGGGGTCTTGTATTGTAAGCTGTAAAATTAATACACTTTTCCTAAGTAATCGTGTGCAGTGAGCCCTTGAAGAGCAAGCCAAAATATAAAATTACAGGTAATACTTTGCACAAAATGAAAATACCTCACCGACTGGATTTTGATGTCCTCAACTACATGTCTATATGATGAACAGATACCTGAAAGGCATGCTGTCAAATCACATGCATAATTTGACAACTATATATTCTAAAGTTCTGAATTAACAATTTGGACATACTGACTACCTTCTCCAGTGTTGTCTAATGATTGTCTGCATGTAGGGATACTACTGTACTGTACTGAACTATTTTTCAGAACCAGTTCTGTGGTAGCCTGTCAGAAATATTTGCCTATCTGCCTGAACTCTCAAAATAAAATCATCTCATTTCAAGAACTGTGTGAGGGCTAGTGTCTTCTTGGATACCTTTAGATAGCGCCCTACAGGTAAATAAAATGTTACCAAGTTAGGCCACAGCAAGTAATTTTTATAGATGACATCAATGCGCACACTAATTTTCGCCTGATTTTGGAAAAAATTTTTGTTCCCTCTGACAGTGGTCAACATGCCAAAAATGGGCAAAGATGTCTGTTGCCATGCCGGAAGGTGGATGGCTGATAACTATAAAGAGAGGAGACAAGAAAAGGCTCTGATTTAATGTTTTGTTTCTTACTTTGATGCTGTGATATGTGATGCTGGCCATGTATATGTGATGTTCCCACTTAATCAAAACCATTTGTATAATGATGGAGTCAAAATTTGAAAATGTGGGAACCTTGCTTTTTTTGACTCGCCTTTCTTTTCCCCGGCTTGCATCAGTCTGTGATGTCATCCATAAAAATTTACTTGCTGTGGCCTTGTGTTTCTAATGAAGTAGGTCCTAAGGTAATAGATCTTACTTTCTGCTACCTGAGTGGCCAAATCTTCACTACTATTCCAGTGTCATGTATGAGATTGGGTTCACTGATGAGGCATCAATATGATTTCTTGGTTCTCAAATTTGCCCACTTAATTTTTTTCTCCCATTTGGCAAAAACAAACAACAGAACCATGTACATGCACTAGTCAGGTTATGAATTAACTCCTAAATGCTCATATTTGGAAACCATTAAAACATTATAAACCTAGCTAGTGCTGCATACCTAAACCCACATTTAGGTTCAGGTCCGGACTCAAGTCCAGAGGTTTAGGTTTAGTTCCGGACTTAAGTCCAGACCTAAACCCATGGCATATACAAAATTGCATGTTGGCAACCTTGCAATGTTGTCTGGGTGAAATTTTGGCCACATAACATGGAGTCGACACTTGACAATGCCCATGTTTTCTAAATTTTGCAGCAAAGTTTTTGCAATCTATGGAAGGTTTTAGGTGTTTTGGAAAGAAAAGGGGTATGTCCGTATGTGAAATGGTCTTTTATGGTAATAAGTCCGGACTCGGTTCTTGACTTTTAGGTTTCTTTTGGACTTGAACCTAACCATTCTTACAAGTCCCGATCCAAGTCCAGTGAACCGGTACGCAGCACTACCTAGGACAAATATGTTGACTGTGGCTCCTACTATAGAATTTGGGGCTACTAGTACACTGTGACTAGTATGCCTTGTCCTTTTTTTCAACCTGTTGTTAGCTTTCTTTGATCTACAAAAATGAACGACCAATAAATCAAATTGAGTGGCCTTAAAGAATTGCCTGTGCTGTGTTTACCTCTGCATCCCCTAGCTTGCATAAGTATGTTGCTATCACCGGTTATCTGGAATCGTCACATGATCATGGGAACAGTCTTCACACCTTTTGTTTGTATACATCATGACCTGTATTGCAATGGGCCATACTGATTTAAAATTACAATTTGGGAGTGATTATTGTAAATTGACAACTTTTTTATAACTTTGAAATGATAATGCAGTAAAACAGTAAACTTATTTTCCCTTACAGAGACACAAGTGAAAGATAAATATATTGACATAGGGTCCTCTTTCATCACATTTCACATATTATTACAACTGATCCCCCTATGGGCCATTCAACTGATAACTTAATTAACCAGGCTGGCCCTGCTCCTAGAATAAAACTGGCTCAGAATTTCTGAATAATTCAATCCTACTGGCCAGTTTGGAATTAACTGAACTTCAAGTTCAGTTAGCTTTCAACTTCAAGTGCTTGCAGAAATTGCCATCTTACCCAATGAAACAGAACCTTCTTACAAATGTATGGCTTACCATAACATTTCATCTTTTTTCATCAACATTTTTGTCAAATTGTCATACAAACCATGAATGTGGATGAAATTAAACTGAACTAAACCAGTTAGGGGACTAGAGACCTGTATCTGGGCATAGTGGATTCCAGTAAACCAGACCATGACAGCAACATACCTATGAATACTTAGCCTGCCACACTTGTCGAGACTCAACAAGTGGCGTAGACTCTCGGGCGTGGGAGGTGCAAGTAGCCCGAGCCCTGCAAGCAGTTCTGCCAAACCTGAAAATACTCAAGACAGAAGTTAATCTCAAGTTCTAAAATGTATGAATGAGGGAAAGACAATCCTGGAACGCTCTGATCTCTTCATTTTCATATAAATCGTCTTTTAATAGTGAAACAAACAAGGTATTATTACAAACAAAACTCTTAAGCTATCTTTTTTTTCTTTCTTGGATCACACAATATTAGTATTTTCTTCAGTTTTAGATGTCAAACCCTTAGATACAAGGGCTTGGCTCACAAAATGCAAGTTTAAAAAGACTACTAAAAATATACAAGAGAAACCTCTACAATCCACAAGAACAAAGGAGGTTGAAGTTCACATGGATACCTTTGATACCGATACCTACGCTTAATTTTAACCATTTGGGATCTGTATGTCCATTACTGCTCCACATGTCTCTCCAAGTAGAATGTGTGTGCGCCTTCACGCACCATTTGGAAAGAAAAGAGGTACACTTTTAAATCTCTGAGTGGGTACAAAGTAGGTTGCTGAGAACTGGTAATAGACCATTCAGACTACTCCTGTAGAACTGGTATTTCATGTGGGGAAAAAGATTTTAATAAGGTATAGAAAATTTTCTTTTCTCTATCTCAGGCCTTACCAGTTTTCAGCAATGAGCTATCAAGGTAACTACCAGTATTACTTCTAAAGTAAAGCATTATGTACAGCAACTTTTTTTTTCCTGTATCTTACACCATTTCTGAATAACAAAAATGACTCAAAAGCATATAGCAGTGCCACAGCACTTCTGGTATGTACAATGTCTGGTATATACAATGTCTGACCTTACTGGTTATGGGCACAATTTTGCAAGTTTCCTGGTTTCAGTATATTCTACGTTAACACAATTCACACATTTTCAAAACCTCAGGAAATAATGCATCTAGTATTACCGCATTGCAAAACCAGAAAAAAATGTCTTGCTTGAACTTGAATGCACAAAGCAAACTTGTAATCTAAGTGTATAAATGAATGGTTATGGAAATGTGTGAAGCGTGTAAGAAGCTAATACCTCCTTACCAAGTAATCTGGTGGGCTGAAATTGACAAAGTAGTGCCCGTGGAAGTAGACTGGACGCTGGAACAACTGCTCGCATCTGGAACACCATTGCTACAAGGGAATAGAGCATAAAGCGTAAAACCAGACAAAATACAAATGTACAGTAAGTACTATTGCTGGAAAACCATGCATTTTGAACTGGTCCCTCAATCTGATACACAATGTGCTCATCTAGTGGATTTACAGGTTTCAACCTTTTCCATGCTAACTTTTTACTGGCTACAATATAAGTCACTCAGATGGTTATTTTACATTGCCACAAGTCTTCCAGGTGTTCAGTTCTGCTATTTGCCATGTTTCAAGCTGTTATTTTGACATGCCATGTTCAATGTTGTTTCTGCGACCGCATGTCCACAGATATCCAGCAGTTTCCTTTGGGAACGACACAGTTGTTACCGTTTTCAACCGTTTTGTACCACACTGTTACCATCATGACAACCCAGGGTTCAGTCACTGGCGCTCTCCCCCGATGGCCATGTGTGCGCACTTGCTGCAGAACTCCAGAGAAACTTGGTCCTTGTTCACGTGAAGGCAAACCCCGCCGCTGTTGTCTGTGTGCCTCCTCTTCTTCCCTTTCGAGTAGTCGTGGTCCTTCTCTCCAGCTTTTCTCTTGCGGTTGGAGGGAAAGGAGGTGCTGAGAGACACGCCTTCAGTAGCATCAATGTTCTTCAACAGGTTGGAAAGCGTGCTCTGATTGGCCAGCACACTTTTGAGGTACTCCAGCTCCTCCTCCAAGGATGCGATGGTTGTCTCCATCTTATTCTTTTCCTTCTTCAGGGAGGTGTTTTCCTTCTGGAGATTGTCGACTCTCCCCTCAAGATCTTGGAGGTAGAGCTTCTTCTTCAGTCTGTTCTGACGCGCAGACTCAGCGTTTCTCTTCTTCTGGTTCGAATCCTCTGGTTCCTGGCGCGCCTGTGTTGGCGCGGTTGGGGTTGGCGCGGGTGTTGTCGCTGTTGTTGGCCGTTTTGTGAGTTGTTCGATGGTTTTAGGCGGTAGCACTGGCAACTTTACTTTGAGTACCATGTGAGTCTTCTTACCGTTGTCGTTACTCTGCGACATATTCACGTTTTCCACCCTCCTTTCCTCACCCCCAAAGAGACCGCGAATCGCTTCTTCCTCCTCGTCCTGGTCTGCCTTGGTGAGATGTAGGTTGTCGAAGTTGAAGTCTGACGATTGTAGCTCGGCAAAGAGCTGGTCTGCGGCGTCACTGGCGTAGTCTTCTGTGCTACTGGCGGGACTTGCCATGCTGCGGTCCGACTCGTGAGACGGCGACGTGGCGAAGTTCTGCTCGCCCTCCAGCCCGAGGCCGAAAGAGTCGAATGAATCCAGGCTGTCTAGCAAGGGTAGAAAATTGTCGTCGAATAAATCAGCCATTGTGACGGACAGACACAGAACACAAGGTTAGGAACTCAGTGGGTCTACGGATGGCGGTTATTCAGTCAGAGTGGAGTGTCTGGACAAAGACTTTTCCTTGCCCTGAATTATCGTGCCAAACAATCCTGGTTTCGGAGGTCAAATTTGGACAATTTTAACAGTTAGAATGAACCAACATGCATTCAAGACGTCCAGGATAAAATATTGAAACTACCTTCAGGGCATTAACCAGCAAAAACCTACCAGAAAGTCCAGAAAAGCTCAGATAAACCGCTCAGGATAGACCCACACTTTTCTCTTTCAAACGACACTGCGACGTATCTAGGCAAAGATGGCGACTCTCGTCACTTGACTATTGCTGATTGGTCAATATTAGTCATGTGGTCAATATCCGCGTTTTTCATTGGTTGATTAAAAATAGCTTATGACGTGTTCAGCACGCCCGCGAAACGTCGGACCGACGTTGTTTCACCGGTTTACAGACACTATTTCAGACATCCGCCAAAGCAAGAAATAATTCCTAGGTCAATGAAATTATTTCAACAAAATGAAACAAGATTCTCTAAGCATTTATGACGTTTTCTATTAGCACTCATTATATCATTAGATACCTACACTTTTAAATAGATTTTACTGTCAGAAAGTAGAGTTGTGGTTGTAGACAAAATATGAGATTGTGATGCGTCTACACATTTGCTGGGTCATGCTGGGTCATACCATTCACTCTGAAGGGAGAGTACTCAAAAAAAGTGATCATTATTTTCTATCTGTGCTTTTTTATTAACATAATAAAAGGTGCTTATTCATCATAAACTATGGTAGACTATACATTTTTAACAGTTGATAGATAGTAGGTATTGTAATATTTGTTTTTGAAAAAATAGTTGTGTTACTATACCCCCACATTTGGCTGTTGTCATTTCCCATTTCGGGAAAATAAAGACAAGAGAATGGACAAGAATTAGCTAAAGGCAAAAATATTACTAGACTACTTTTTTTTGTCTCCTGTGTGCCATACATCAATTTCAATCTTTCTGATCATTATAGAATGAAGGAAATTTTGGTAAACTTTAGTTGGCATGCGCCATGACCCTAATTTCAGGGGGTCAGGATACGGAAGTAGCAGTGCGGAGTTTCGTGTGAAAGAATAAGACAAAAATATTGCTCTCAAAAATGTCGTCTTCGGACATGGAGACGCCTTCCGTTGCCGAAGTCTTTCCCTCTCCCGTCAGTGGTAACCACTGGGACCCGTGCTTCAGCAAAGACTGGGAGAAAGAGCGACCGACACAGCAGTGCGTCCTCAGAATAAAAAGGCGAGTCAAACCTCATCTCCAAGCAGATGTCGGGGTGGAAGATTTTGATACCATAATTTGTATAGAAAATGCTCTTCACGGAGTATGATAACATGCTAGATTATGAAAGCAACTCTAGGTAATTTGTGATACCAGGTATTATTTTAATCCTTTTAAGGAAGAGTCAGTTGCATGATAGAAATGATCGAATAACGTTAGGTCAAATGTAACATAACATCAGACATTTAGTAACATGTCATTTGTTTCCCTACAAAATTGTGTTTTTATTCTGGCGTTTTACTATCAATACGACTAAATACTAGTAGTATGTATAAGGAAAATTTCTAGTAGAGTACTGTAATTTAGCTACACCCAGAAACATTAGAATTTAGATAAAGCTCATTTGAATGGCAGTTACACTGTAATGTTACACTAGTAATGAAATTTTTGTTGGGGCTCTAAGTTAACCAACTTTCAAAATACAGTACTTTGCCTCCATATTCCAACTTAAGTAGTGTATTAAGAGCCCACAAATGTAATCACTGTACTACTGTAAACGTACTGTATTTTGTGTGGGGTCGGGTGGTGTAGTGGTTAGAGCTATGACTATGAAGCGGGGAGACCCGGGTTCGAGTCTGAGCTGTACCCTGGACATGTGCCCCGACGTTGTGCCCTTGGGAAAGGCACTTTACATGAATTCTTCACTCCACCCAGGTGTGAATGGGTACCTCACTTCCGTTGGGGAAAGTCATATTGAGGTCACCTTGTGGTGCCGAATGGCAGCCGCACAGACCCTTGTGACAGTTCCAAAAAAAAAAATTGTGGAACAAAATATGTGTATCATGTGTATTATTTGATTGGTGTAATTGTTGTGCTTTATATTGATTATTATGTGATATCCTGCATCAATTCAGCCGTAAAGGCTGTGACTGCACGGGTACTGTTTGGACAATAACAAAAAAATCAGTCCTGTAATAATATCTGTGCTGTTTTATAACTCTAGGGACATCATGAGCATCTATAAAGAACCTCCACCTGGTATGTTTGTTGTACCTGACTCAGAAGATGTCACAAAGGTAAGTGTTTCGGCAATGAGCCTGAGTGACAGTTCATTTTGTGTATTTTGTCCATTCCACAACACAACAACACTTGGCCAAATACCCATACATGTATAGCCTCCATAGCATGTCAAAAACGGGGTTTGGGGGGTCTTCAGGGTCTTTGGGATCATTTATGTGCTATTTTCTGATTGCATATAGACAACATAGCCGGCCTGGTTGAATTACCCCCGTTTTTAGAACTGGGCTAATCAGAAAACAGCCGAAGACCACCAAACCCCCAGTTCTATAAGCCTGCTACGGAGGTTATACATGTAGTTGTATGAGGTTTGGAATACAACAATACCTCCTAAATAAAAACAAAATTTTTAGAAGAAATTACAAATAACTTTTGTGTTTTGGTTTACTTATGAGGTAAAGTATATATAAATACATGTATTGTACAGCTATCAGTTTCACAAATCACACAACTAGCATGTACAAATGTACTTTTAATTTTTCTTGTATGCAAGAAAAAATGAATGTAGAAACATATTACAAGACGTAGTGTTTTGAAAGTTGTAGTAGACTATAGCTTGTTCCCAGTTACAGCAATTTGCAAAATTGATTGTCGAAACAAAAAACAACATTAAGTACATTACTAGACAGCCTAAGTTATGTTTAACCTTAGGCTACACCGATTTAATTTTATGGATGACATCCTCTGAAGACCCCCAAACTAGTGCGTGCGGGCGAATAAAAAAAATTCTGGCCAAAAATAAAAATGGTACTAAACCACAGGAATACATAAATTGGTATTGTGAATTTGCGGCAGTACATAGTGAAGTATACGACAAACTAGGACATGCTGGCTTTTGTGGAATTGATGAATCGGCACTGTACGTATGTACTGAGTTCTTGAGTTGTGAAGGTTCGGTAGCCCGTCCTCTAGAGTTACAACCGGCTCCGTATTGTCGCTAACTACCATGGACAACCCAGGTCTAGATTGATATCTTAGAGCCTCGGAGGACGTGATCTTTTTTTTTTTTTTTAAGAACAGGTGAAAATCAATGCGCGCGGGGATGTCATCCATAAAATTAAGTCGGTGTGGCCTTACCGGTATTTCTGCAACAGGTCCATCCATCAAGTTTGTGTTGGTATGTGGCAATGAGAAGGTTTAAATAGACAATTAACCAGTGCAAACATTACCTTACAGATCCATGCACTGATCACCGGTCCCTTTGACACCCCCTATGAGGGTGGTTTCTTCCATTTCCTGATCCGGTTTCCACCAGATTACCCCATCCGACCCCCCAGGGTCAAGCTGATGACCACAGACGGGGAACAAGTACGCTTCAACCCCAACCTCTACAAGAACGGGAAAGTCTGTCTCAGTATCCTCGGGTGAGACGTCATGTTGTTGAATCAGCGTGCAAAATACTGTACCTGGTTGCCCAGTTGCAACCAAATTTTACTTGGGGCAACCTCTTTTTGAACCTAGGTAGCCCAGTGTGTTACCTGAATTTTAAGAATGCCCCCCCCCCCAAAAGAAATCATGCCCACTTGGCTTGCATCACTGTATCCAGCAGATGCTTTTTAATTTTAGGTATTAATGGCTATTACTAGTAACAGTTAACTAAAGGCTGTTAGAAATATTGTCAAAGGCTTATGTATGTAATATTACTTAATTTGAGGAAAGTAGTAACTTATAGGTGGGGCAACCTAAAATTCTGAGGGGCAACCTAGTTTTTGCCGTAGGCTGCCCACTGGGCAACCTGGTTCAAAAAAGTATTTTGTACACTGTTGAATGTGCAGTTCAAACAATAGGCTGAGCTTGACTTTCCGTCACAATTAGCCATTCAAGTTGAACCAATGATAGCATACCAATTCGTGGTTTGACCAAGGAATAGGTTGTATTATGTATCTAAAACGTAATCTAGAATATAATGGACTGTGGCCAGTTTGTTTGCCAGTGTTCTCCTAGCATATCTTTTCATTTCTCCTGAGTTTGCCTAAAGTTTGATTATTGTTTTCAGTACATGGACTGGTCCAGCCTGGAGCCCTGCCCAGTCCCTCTCCAGTGTTCTTATCTCCATCCAGTCTCTGATGAATGAGAAACCTTACCACAACGAGCCAGGCTTTGAACAGGTCTGTACAAAATGAACCAGGCTTTGAACAGGTCTGTACAAACTGAGCCAGGCTTTGAACAGGTCTGTACAAACCTTACCACAATGAGCCAGGCTTTGAACAGGTCTGTACAAACCTTACCACAACGAGCCAGGCTTTGAACAGGTCTGTACAAACCTTACCACAATGAGCCAGGCTTTGAACAGGTCTGTACAAACCTTACCACAATGAGCCAGGCTTTGAACAGGTCTGTACAAAGCTGACCACAACGAGCCAGGCTTTGAACAGGTCTGTACAAACCAGTGGCATTTAGCTGTGAGTCGAAAATAATGTATAAGGCTTCAAATTGAGAAGTTTTTCCAACATAACCAAACTGAGAATTCTTTTTACACTTACAGGAGAGAAATGTAGGAGATGCCCAGAGGTATAATGAGTGCATCAGACATGAGACCATCAGAGTAGCAGTGTGCGGGATGACTGAGGGACGATGCTGTCATCTTCCCGATCAGCTCAGGTCTGCTTCAGATTCTATCAAACTTTTCAAAGTTAACGGAGCCCATTGGTGTATAACTAGGGCTCAAAATTAAAGGTGGTCCGATGGTGGTAAAATTTAGGCTGGGACAACTAAAAAGACACTTTGGGACATTTTTGGGACAATCGAAAAATAATCAAAATCAAAATGTCAGCTCTTCTTTTGTCTATCAGGCACACTTCCCGGCTTTTGGATCCAGAAAAGTCCCCCGAATTTCCTGTCTACTTTGCAATTATAGTGCGACTGGGAGTGAACTAAAGTTGACTTCAAGTTGACACAATACTTCCCAAAAATCAGATTGGGACAGTTCATCCTCACTTTGGGACAATTGAGATTTATTTTTGGGCAGTGCTGGGACAATAGGAAGAAAAGTTAATTCGAGGCCTGGTATACCCAAATTTTTCTACAACAAATGTCCATGGTAGTTCCTGTTAATTCAGGAGTACCAGTAAGGGTTTTTAGTGGCTGTTCTATGCCCATGCGGTGGCTATGTAGGACTGGTGGATACAACTCAGTGTTACTAGTACCATGAAGTGTGGCTCATGTAGCGTCTTTTGAGTTGTGTTACGATTTTTAAAAATCAGATATGTTTGTCAGCACAGTTACATTTTTCACACTTTCAAATGCATTTAACATTTTGTATGAGATTTGGAATTTACTTCAAAACTAACTGTAGTTTTGATGCTGTTTTCCAGAGGAGTGATGGAAAAGTCTTTCCCGGAGTTTTATGACTACTACACCTCCACCTGCAGGGACAGACTCCATCTGGACGGCTCCAACATGCAGGTTGGTGAGGCCTAGGAAACAAAATGTTGTGTTTTTGATTTCCCGACAGACCCTGGTAAAAGCTTCAATCCAAAATGCGAAGAAAAAGTCAACTTTCCGTTGTTTTATGCAGCCTTTATTCAGTGTATTTCATGAATCTGTTAAACATGAACTTGAGAGCATTTCTGTGGGAAATTGGGTTTGGGCACATACGCTAAAAGGGGGCCTGAATGGGGTGGGGGGGGGTAGTGGTTCCTGACGCTGAATTCAGAAACCTCTCGATTATGCTTTTACGATAAAATTCCAAGTGGCTACAACACATAACGTACATTAAAACGGCGAATATGCTCTATGTAAAATGCGTCAGTTACGCTCTACGTTGAATTAGAGCGGTCTGTCTACGCTCTATGTAGCATTAAAACAGGCGATTATGCTCTACGGAAAAGGGCATGCGGGCTCCCCTAGAATAATGGTTTGATTGTTTTTCAGGATCCCTTTGGAGAAAAGAGAGGTATTTTCCAGTACTCCCAGCTCCTAGAAAGACTGGAGGTCATCAGGAGAAGAATAGGTGAAGGGTCAGAGGACATGACCTCTGACCTAGACAGTGACAACAGTGACCTGGACTCTCAGGAGGTGTCCGAAGCTCAGGAAAATCAGAATCTCAGTCCGGGCACCAGCAGTAGTGGGTAGATTATTATCTTAACAAAGAAAAAGAATCATATATATTAGCATTTAGTTCATCCCTATTTAAAGTGTTAAGAGTCACTCTTTATTAGGAGAGTGAATACTATTACTCTATACAAGTAGGCCTAAGGCCACAGAAAGTAAATTTTATAGATGACATCCTCCCCAGACTCCAAATCTAATGCGAGCAGGCGAAAAAAAACAAGGCGGGCCAAAAAAACAAGGTGCCTACATTTTAAAATTTTGACTCAATCATTGTACAAATGGTTTTGATTCAGTGGGAACATCACATATGCACAGCCAGCATCACATATCACTGCATCAAAGTAAGAAACAAAACATTAAATCAGAGCCTTTTCTTGTCTCTTCTCTTCATAGTTATCTGCCATCCACTTCTGGCATGGCAACAGATATCTTTGCCCATTTTTTGGCATGTTGACCACTGTCAGAAGGCAACAAAATTTCTTCCCCCCCCCCCCAAAATCAGTTAAAAGTTAATGCGCACGCTGATGTCATCTATAAAAATTACTTGCTGTGGCCTTAGTCAGAATTGGTCAGAAAAGTATACTTGTCAAGTCCTGTATTGTTTGAGGGACTTCAAACCATTTTGATCCCCCATTTATGTTTTTTTTTTCGCAGGCAATTCCCTCATGTCATATAGAACTTATAAGCCCGTAGGGTACTAGTGGAGAGTTACAACTGTACTATATTTTGCAATTATGTAACATTAACAGTGAATGTTGGCATGGGCAAACTGAAGATTCTGGATTTAAAAGATGAGTGGATTTAACTTGAAACTTGACACACAGTAGCTTTATGTCCTACTGTGGTACCAATGTAACGTTATGTGTATCATAAGTCAGTTAATACATCAAGTACAGTACCAAGATCTCTAGACAAGCTTAGAATTGACCATGTTCAGGGCCTCCAAACACTACACTATCACTACTTGGTGTACATGTACTGAAAGGCCACTCCAATTTAATTTGTTGGTTCTCGGATTTGCCTCTTCATTTTCTTCTGATTTGACAAAAAAAAAGATTCTGATTCTGAATCAACTCAGAAATGCTCATATTTTGCCCCCAACATTTTAGGAAAGTCCTTTTCTTCCTTGTTCCTACAGTTTTTCCATCTATCAATGCAGTGGTTTGATTAAAAGTTCAAAATTCATTGTTTAGATATTAACCCAGCCTTTTGCGTTGACTTTATGGCTCCTATCGTAGCATTTGGGGCTATAATAGGATGCCTAGACCTGTTTTTATTTTTTCGCCCTGTCGTTTCATAGTATTTCCGAAAAAATCCGAGAACCAACAAATTAAATTGGTGTGGCCTAATATTAATTCAACATTATCATGGTAAATTTTATTTCAATGAGGAGTAATTTGTTTGAAACTGGGATAGACTATAGCAATGAGCTTTCACCATGAACGCTCCTTCATATAGGCAGTTGTCTATATCTTATAAAAATTATGTATCAATGTTATTTATTGCTTATACAATGTAATGTTGAAGCTGTTTCTTCTGAGCTCAAACACTGTTTGGATCTGGCAACTGAAGACGGTAACAGAACAAAAGTTTGAAAACAAGCATTCACGAGTTTCCCATCCCCAGAATGCATTGCAAAAACAGGGGTCTAAACCTCATTTGCATAGGACAGGAAGGCATTCGAATGATCCTGTTGAGCTTGTTTGTCAGTGTCAGTGAAGTTTTTTTTGAATATGTGGTTTGTAACGTTATAGTGGTAATGCTATTATTATAGTGATGCTGTAACAAACCACAAAAACACAAAAACGTCATTCTCTATTTGTTGTCAGATTCGACCCATAGTAATTTAATTAATGTTGAGCATAAAATGCCCCAACACCTCAAAACACACTGAAAAACAAGCTGTTTAACATCAACAGGATCATTCCGATGCCTTCCTGTACTATGCAAGTGAGGTTTAGACCCCTGTTTTTGCAATGCATTCTGGGGATGGGAAACTTGTGAATGTAACTTCCTGGGTACCATCCTGGTTAGTTTATGTCTGCTCACACAGTTGGTAGTGACTGTGGGAGTGGATGTCAACTAACCCAGGCTATAGTATATGTAACAGAAGATGAAGATGACTTTCCAGTAAGAACTGTGTAACCATTTCACCAATTGCAAGAGTCAACAAGGTATTAAAATAAAGTTGAGTTTAACAATGTGGCAACTATTCATTACTTGTAATGTTTTGGTGGTACCAGACAGGCAGAGTTTAGCCTGCCAGGTGCAATCCGATTTTTAATGACAACCCTGAAAAAATTTTTGGGGGGTTGTCATTACAAATCAGATGGTACCCAGGCCAGGCAGAGTTGTTGAAGCTGTTGATAACTGTTACAAGTATGATTGATTCTTTGCAGTATTAATGCAGTTTCCCCTAGCTGAACATCATCAAATTAAACTATACAAATTTGGTGCCAAACGGCTACCTCATCATGCTTAGGGAAACTGGCAAACACAGATATTAGGCCACAGCAAGTAATTTCTATGGATGCCATCAGCGCGCACATTAATTTTTGCCTGATTTTGGAAAAAAAAAATTTTGTTTGCGTTCTGACAGTGACAACATGCCGAAAAGGGGCAAAGATGTCTGTTGTCATGCCAGAAGGTCGATGGCAGATAACTATGAAGAGAGGAGACAGGAAAAGGCTCTGATTTAATGTTTTGTTTCTTACTTTGATGCAGTGATAAGTGATGGCTGTGTAAAGTTATACATGTATGTGATGTTCCCACTGAATCAAAACCATTTGTACAGTGATTGAGTTAAAATTTTTAAATGAACCTTGTTTTTTTCGCCAAAAAGTAGTTACTCAAGCAACTGGATATGATGTCTTTCAAAATCATATCCAGTTGCTTGAGTAACTGCTTTTTGGCGTATCATATTACCTGGATGTCTAACCTTCATCGACGTACATGTATATATAAAAAAAAAAAGATACGTATCTTGTTTTTTTTCACCCGCTCGCATTAGATTTGGGGTCTGCGGTGGATGTCATCCATAAAATTTACTTGCTGTGGCCTTACACTAAGTTACAGAGTATTACCAAGCTCCCTATGTATGAAGACTTTACTCTCCAAGCAGAGGTTGTTGGGGAAAATTGTGGCATTCTTTATCATGCGCCCGGTTTTTGTCCGCTTGTTGGGGAAGGCGGACAAAAACCGGGCGCATGATAAAGAATGTCACAATTTTCCCCAACCTCTGCTTGGAGAGTATGAAGACTTGAGTCCAACTTTGTTTATGTTCAAACTCTGTATGAAAACAAAAAGTTGCGTCACATCTCGGGAAATCTCGCGAGATGTTACGTCATCGTATTTTTGGCTGCGTTATTCGCCCGTCAGGGGAGATCAGCTGTAAACACAAGGAACAGTCCAGGGGAACAAACTCTGTTTTTTCGACGGAAAATCCCCGCCAGGACAAATGACTACTCCAAATTTCACTATAATATAGTCGTGGGGGAATCCTAGCGGCGATTGGTGTGGAGAACAGAGCGATTTTACGGTGGGAAGACGTTGTTTTTTGGTAAGTTAATGCGGAAATTTTCAGCTTACAAAAATTTTCCAAGATGGTGGCCGATATACAGACCTAGAGGTTGAAGTCTGGACGAGCTGCGTTTAAAATTCTTTCCCCTTTATTGAAATATAGACGTACTTGTCAAAGTATTTAGCTCGTTGGTGTTGTTGACATCCTCAGATTTTAGGAAATAGATTTAGCAGAAGCAGTTTTCTCGTATTTTTGCCCACAAAATTATGCGGAGGAAAATTATATACAAGTCAAAACAAAACAAAACGGTCGCGTTCTTTCCCATAATAACATGTCAACACGCGACGATGATTTGGCCTATCTCAAAATGATAACCAAAATTTTTGTTAGTTTTTACAGTGCTTATTAGTTCTAAAAAGGTTGACAAATAAATTGATTTTATGGTTGTTAGTCACTTGACGCAACTTTCAACAACATTTAAAATACACGTCAGTTTACAAATAAACCTTGGGTCAAGTAATTCGGTGAATCATATGAAAAAGGGGTGGAATTTATGTATGATTATGAGTCAAAGATGAAATCATTCGTTATAAGAAAATAAGATTATTACTGTTAGACACCAAATGGAGAGTTTAACCGTATTAAATTTAGAGGGATTTTGACATTCTGGCATAATATTTTTGGGAAAAGGGCAAGGTAAGGAAATAACGTTAATATGTTTGTTTTTTTTAAATAATCCCTATATCTACATACCTCTAGATCAGTGCATCAGTCAGCAGTATATATAGTTTTTGGCAGCATCCCATATCATATTCCTAAGATGTTGGCTTTGTTTGATTTTTTTTGTCATAAATTTTGCATCAGTGTGAGCATATGATTATACTAGGGCCTAGGAAAAAATGTCATTTTTCCTGTTTCAGTCCTGAAAAAAATTAGGGTTGGTAGGTAGGGATTATCTTTTCTTTCTTCTTTTAGATCTCAATGATATCTTTATTGGCGTTCAACTTATTCCAGTTTAACAAAGTAAAGCTTGGATGAGGGCACTTATATTTTCAATGACAATGTTATAAAACCAATTGTACAACATTTTATCACTCAGATGTCAGATTATGGAGATAGGAAAGGTTGATCAGCTCATCGTAAATAAAATATATGTCCCTTGCAGGGGTCCACACACACAAAAAAGTCTAGGGTGGGCAGATTTTTCTAGGGTCGGTCAGGAAACAGGAAACAAATTTTTTTCCTAGGCCTAGAGTCAGTATGTGGGATCGGCTAAATGTTGAGTGATTTTTTTTAACCAAAACTTTAATGATTGAACCTTGTTGATCTCCCTGAGTCCCTCTGTTGCTGTTTTTCTCTGGGATTGAAAGTTCAGCTGTCTTCACTGCTGACTAGTCAATACACTTTCATACTTAGTAATTAGGTTACCTTTTGTATGCTCCAGCAGACCATGTTATTAGCCAAATCATGCAAATTGCATCTTGTTACATCTTCAAGTCTTGGCGACAGTTCTTCAGTAATCTCTGAACCGATCTTTTGGTGGCTACAATTTAGTACAAACTTAAGACAGTATCAAAATGGCCAGGCCTTTTCTGCCATCCGAAGACATTCAATGTACCTGAATATGCTATTTTTTCTCATACTGGGTACTAGTATTATGTCATACCTGGGTCGTGATTACATTCGATACGGGTGTTCCGGCCCGTGTGCGGTACGGCCCGGGCTTCCAAATGTTCCATTGATAGAAGGATTCGAACGCGTTTCGTCCCCCCCTAACCGCGTGCACCGTATTCGAAAATTCGAATACAAAATTCGGACGTTGGAATTGATGTCGTTGCATTTTTTTCGGTTTAGGGACACCAAATTTTCACTCATTTCGCATTGAAAGGCGTGTTTTCTTGGGTGGGTGTGACATAAATAAAATACAACATGGTGTATTCTATATTCTTTATTTATCACCATGTATCTGAATTTGTGTGATCCATTTAAAAAAAGGGCCTGCCAAAAATATTGATTGTTTGAACAGCAAAGACTTCATCAGACACAACAAAATATATGTACGTTGGAATTGATTTTTCATCAGACACAAGAAAATATATGTACCATAAAATTTAGTTGTTAAAAGTGTGCATCAGTGTACTATGTTTAGGTAGTGGATATAATAAATTTAGCTGGACTTTTGGCTAGACATTTCAGTTATCATTGAAACATTTTTATCAGACCAGGTTATTTGTAAACATTCCTTTAATAGTTGCAGTTGTGTTTAGACAAATAATTATCTTCGCTAAGTCAGCGACCTTTGATTTATATGTCTGTACATGTTGGCAAGCAAGTTGCATGTGACTAGTACTGCTGCCAACTGTCACACTGACATATTAGGATGACATCATCTGGCCTGACACATTTAGAAAACAGGAGATAGAATTCCATGCTGACCTCTGCCTTGCCAGTGTGGTGAATTCAAACCAAATGATTTCAGAAGATAAGGCCACACCAATTTAATTTGTTGGTTCTTGGATTCGCCTCTTCATTTTTTTTCTGATTTGCAAAACAAAAAAAAAGATTTTGGCTCTGAATCGACTCAAATATGCTCATATTTTGCCCCCAACAGTTGAGGAAAGTCCTTTTCTTCCAAGTTGTTACAGTTTTTCCACCTATCAATGCAGTCACTGTGGTTTTATTAATACTAATAACAGTTTAAAATTTATTGTTTAGATATTAACCCAGCATTTTGTGTTGACTTCATGGCTCCTATTGTAGCATTTGGGGCTATAATAGGACGCCTAGACCTGTTTTTATTTTTTTCGTCCTGTTTCTTCATATTTTTTCTAAAAAAAATCCAAGAACCAACAAATTAAATTGGTGTGGCCTAAGCTTTATCATAAAATCAGACAGACTGATTTTTTTGACTAAAATAACAATATGTGGTGTAACAGCTGCCGACAATTGTCTTGGTTTGCAGTCATCTATTATTACCTTCGCCAAGAATTGACGAAGGTTATGTTTTCCTGGCCGTGTGTCTGTCTGTGTGTCTGTCTGTCAACAGCATAACTCGAGAAAGCTTAGATGGATTATCTTGATATTTAGTAGGTGGGTAGGTCTTGATGAGACCTGGAAATGATTAGATTTTGGACCCCCTAGCGGCTTGTTATGGTACTGCAGCTAAACTTCCGGTTTTGATATCTCATGATCTAGACATGCTGGGGTGACAAAATTTGGAAGGTAGGTAGCTCTCATGCTGGGGAAGAAGTGGCATGAGTTTGGGTCCCCTAGCGGCTTGCTCAGGAACTGCAGGGCTATCTGTTTGAAAATATTCAAAAGAGGATAACTCAAGAACTGGTGGACGGATCGTCGTGATTTTTGGTATGTAGGTAGCTCAAGTGATGCTTGACATAATTATGCGACAATTATGCAAATCTGGATCTAATTTGCATAATTAATGGCAAAATTCTATTAATCAGGTGCATTGCATTATAGGACTATTCAAGCTTGTGACATATGTAATTGAGAACGAGAGAAACACAGGCAAATATTGATTATGTAAATCAACACCTAATTTGCATAATTAATGAAAAAATTTTATAATTCCATAATGCTAACTGCCTGGAATTTCATACTTGGGGTATTTGAAAATTAAGTGAAGGTGAACATCATTAAACATAACTTATTCAAATAAGGACCTCTTTTGCATAGTTTATGAGGAAATGATAGAATGGCTTTCTTTGTTTGTTAAGATAAGGCTGTCTTTTAATGGAGAATATGATCAACTATATAATACAATAATTTATAATACAATATTATAATATAAATATAATACAAATGAGGATTTTATTTGCATAATCAGAAGGAATCATCTTTGTCAGTCATAAAGATTAACATCATTTGGCGAAGGTATGAGATCGTGGGACTCTAGTTAAACCATGTTTTGTTATACATTTGTATAATAGAACTGGTGATGTTCGATGTATTTTGAAGATCTTTTGAAATATTTTGATAGGGCCGGAGACCATTATCTACAGTATATTAATGTATACTGCCAATCCCATGTACATGTATACATGTCTATATGTATATCAGTACAGAAATAGATAAAGACTATTTTTAGCACATTTTATAATATGATGAGCACACACATACCAGGGCTCGAAATTCATTTTTGGGAATAGGTGCACCAGTGCACCCAACCTGAAAAATTAGGTGCACAAAAAATATTTTAGGTGCACCATGTAAGATACATTTGTAAGTAGAATGTCAGCAAAAACTATTATACCGTAATTATGTTTCATTTCAAGAAAAGTACTATTAATAACAATGACTGTATTATTTTTTCTGACAATTAGATGTTAAGAATATGCTGTAACTACTACATGTTAAATCTTTAAATACAAGAAAATATTTGGGTGCACTGGTGTACCCACAGAAAAAAATTGTGTGCACAGCTCCAAATTTGGGTGCACTAAGGTGCACATGTACCCAGTATTTCGTGCCCTGCATACTGAACTATTACTTCTTACTATTCGTATTGGTTTAGTTGTTGCCTTATAGAACAAGAGTAGAAGTTTTCTTGTTTAAGTGGTGTCACTGTTAGAAAATTGACTCAGAATTATCAGTTCCAGTATAGACATTATATGAATACATGTAAACAACAAGGCCTAGGGATGTCACACTGACCTTTGAACTATTGACCCCATGAGTCATATATCACATGAAGATTGCACAATAGTCTGACATTTGTATGACTCGCATTGGATTGATATGTAGAAAGGATATCTGATTGTCTAGAAAGATTATATATACAAGTTTTACATTGAAATTTTGGTAACTTAAAGTTATTCTATAGTAAGTGTTGGACTGATATTGTCTGACATAGCAAATGGGATAGACAAGAATAGTTACCAGGTAGTATGGTAACCTTGCTTTGTGGTATTTTTTAATGTGGTTCTCTGCATTTTCTATATATCTAAGATGTACCTATTTTACAAATTAAAGATAAGGCTCTTAGTTGTATTTGTACATAACATGCAGGTCACAATTGTGCATATATTGATGCATACCTAAACCTAATATTAGGTTCAGGTCCGGATTCAAGTCCAGAGGTTTAGGTTCCCGGACCTAAACCCATGGCATATACAAAATTGCATGTTGGCAACCTTGCAATGTTGTCTGGGTGAAACTTTGGAAACATAACATGGAGGCTGGTACTTGACGATGCCCGATGGCAATGTTTCCTTCATTTTGCAGCAAAGATTTTGTAATCTACGGAATGTTTTAGGTGGTTTGGAAAGAAAAGGGTATGTAAAATGGTCTTTTATGGTAATACGTCCGGACTTGGTTCTTGACTTTTAGGTTAACATTCTTACAAGTCCGGATCCAAGTCCAGTGAACCGGTACGCAGCACTACATACAGGTGTGCATATTTTGAATATTCAAAGTTTGTCTGCCAGAAAAGTGCTCAACTTGGTAAAAATTCAGGACATTTATTATTGGTGTTTCTGCCATTCCAGAGATAAGTTGTAAAACATGGCGACTGTGGAGCCACTACCGGACGTGCCGTCCTTCGAAGACAGGCCCAACCCCCCCAACAAGAGCATGAGCCACTCGGACTTCGCCCAGGTCCTGTTCCACAATGTGGCTGACAGTTACGTGCCCGGCGTGGACATCCCGTGTCGTTACACGCTCACCCCGCTCATGACCCCTCGCAGCAGGGACTGGGTCGGACTCTTTAAGGTATCATGCAGGAGTTTGAGTTATTGTTGATGTAAAACATTGGTACGAGACCTGTATTCAAAGTGCTCATGACACCAAAATATGACCTTAGCTGATTGTAATTGACATACATTTGTAACTAGTATTACCTGGCTAACAGACACATTTACAATAAATATGCACTGTTATAATATTATTCGAAATTTTAATGCCCTGCTTTGGAAAAGTCAGCACAAGCCAGTACTGGCAGGTGATTTGAATCTCTTGACTACATTTTATTTTTGCATGTCTGTATTTTTTCCTGAGCTGATGTCACCCAGTGATGTCAGCTCAGGAAAAAGTACAGAAATGCAAAAATAAAAAACAGATATCATAATGCAAATAGAGATGCCTGAAGTGGGCAATTGGGAAGCTTGCTAGAAAGTCTCCAAAAATCCACTTTTAGAAGGCCGTACAAGCTCAATTTCTCAGTCATCATAATTGGATTATTATATGTACACTTCCGATATTTTTTGGTGTCATTTGGTCTTTAATGCATTATAGGTAATAATTAAATTGGAATTTAGTGTAGTTAATAAATAGACAATTTTTGTCCTTTTTTCGTACCCTTTTAATCATGCAATGCTAAAGGAAATATTTTTTTACCTCTAGTGATTCATGCCTTCTAGCATACAGATGAAGTTAAACAGGAATGTGATACATGGACAACTAGTAAGCCTGACCAAGTCTTTCCTTATTTCCCTCTACTGTTTTTAGATTGGTTGGAGCTCACCGAGAAACTACACCACCTTTGCTTGGTCACCCCTGCCGACAGAAACTGAAGAAGGGAAGGACAGAGAGAACTGTGTGGTCTTCAAAGGTAATCTATTTATTTTGAATCAAGCCCATTATGTTGATAACTTCCTCTATCAGATGCAATATTGAGTAAGAAAAGAAACAACAAAGCTATTTGCAGTAGAATTTTTTTTTAAATCTATTCTTAGGTAGATATCCCCTTATTTTGGTTTTATGAAAAGCTTTTAAATCAGTTACATAAATTTGTAACAACATGTTAATTTGAAAAGGTGGGGTCATGTGGCGCAACGGCAGCGTGCGCAACTCGGAACCAAGAGGTCCCGGGTTCGAGTCCTGACATGCCACCGACCTTGTGCCCTTGGGAAAGGCACTTAACACGACTTTCCCCACTAGACTCAAGTGAAAATGAGTATTGTCTGTCCAGTATTCGTTTCTATGTGTGGGACACAACACCAGCAACAGCTGCCCCTGTTCCGCGTGTTACGATTGCATTGTTGAAATTTCAATAAAATCAAATCAAATCAAATCAAACTAGGGAAAAGGTAATGAAATACCTTCAACCAAAACAGTAGCTGCAACATTGTCATGTAGTATTGATACATGGTTCTGCTGGTGTTCCACAGCCTACTACCTGCCCAGTGATGACGGAGAGTTCTACCAGTTCTGCTATGTCACCAGTAGTGGGGAGGTGCGAGGGGCCAGTACACCATTCCAGGTACGCTCCAAAAATCCTGAATACAACTTACAAGCATTAAGGTTGCACATTTACACTACTGCTGGGACTTGGAAAAGTCAACGTTTTTGGAATATTTTAAAAATGTTGTACCTTCCCACAAGTTGTTTTTGCTCTGTTTCTTCTTCTCCAAATTAATGAGGTCAAATGGCTGTCACCATGGTAAAGTTTGAAAATAGCAGTAGTTTGTTAGGCTACACCATGTGAGGGTAAACATTATGCAACATTCCTTCAATTGTAACAGTGGGGGGGTTTATAGGCGCTACCAACTGACCCAGCCAATGGGTCTAGACCTTTTCGGCCAAAATGGTTAGAGCGTCGAACTGGTACCCGGGAGGTCGTGGGTTCGAACCCCAGCCCGGGACCAGGGTTTTTTATCTGTTTTTGCTGCTCGCCTCCACATCTGGAATCGAACCCGGGCCTTGGTGGTGAGAGCGCCAAATCCTAACCACTAGACCATGTGAAAAGAAAAGGGGGAGTAGTGTAACAGTGGGGGGTTTATAGGCGCTACCAACTGACCCAGCCGATGGGTCTAGACCTTTTCGGCCGAATAGTTAGAGCGTCGGACTGGTGCCCGGGAGGTCGTGGGTTTGAACCCCGGCCCGGGACCAGTTTTTTTATCTGTTTCTACTGCTCGCCTCCTGTTTCTTACACAATGACCAGTATCATAAACTTAGACTATTATTAACAGATGAATATTCATGCTACAGTAATATTATCCATTATCATCATGTCTACAGTTCAAGCCTCGGAGGAGCATAGATTATGTGGAGGTCCCAGATGAAAGTGGAGAGATGCTGGTGATTAAGGAACGTACCACAGTCTTGGAGGAAAATCTTCAGAAGGCCCTGGCAGACAAGGAAGCTTTGCTGAATGACAAGGAGACCCTGGAAGAAAAAGTGCGCAGCCTGCAGCGCAACATCCAGGAGCTAGAGGGCACTGTTGCGCAGGAGTCAGAGAAGAGAGAGACTGTGGAGAAAGAGTACAAGGTGATGTTGTTGTCCTAGCTGTTAGAGGTCACATTTTTGTGCATTTTTATATTTCAGTCCATACCATGGTATGGATGAAGTATATTGTGTTCCCTCATGTTTCTCCTTCTCCTGCCAAACAGTCAAAGGGACTGAACTCTGTCATTTTTTTAGCTAAATGACCTAAAATTTGGCATGGAGGTAGAGTGGGCCAATACCTCCAGGCGTTTTTTTTTCACTTTTTTGATACATGCCTTTGACACATTTTTCGACAAAAAAAGGATTTTTGGATCATGAGCCCTGGTATTACAACCAAATGATCTGAAAGTCAGTATAAGGGTACCTTGAACGTGTGTCTACAGAATAACAGTCACATATTTGGCATAAATCACTTCCAAATGACTCATTTAGGGGACTTTAATGGCTATTTTCAGCCAAAAAAGGGCCAAAAGTGCTGTACCCATTCCACGTTCGATCTAAAGAATGGCCCGTTCCATCTGCTGTTGGCCATCGAACACTGCTCGAACACATCGAACATTGCGGGTTACCTGGGGTCACGTTGCACGTAAGTCGTGCGCAATGACCCACACATTCAATTTTATGTGCCTAAGATCATTACGTCATCTACAATCACGACGATGGAATATGCCGACCATCTTATTATGGACTGAAATATGCTGTATTTGCTCCCAAGCAAATGTCGGCCTTTCCAGTCTGAACCTCTTTCAACTTAATCATTTAGTGCAAGATAAATCAGTGTTATCATATTATAATGGTAACAATTGTTTTGTGCAAGTCAGTACTGATTAGCATTTCAGCTCTGGTAGAGACTAAATTTTATTTCCAGATATGACATAAGCTACAAGGATGTGTTTTGACAGTTTTTTTGGGAAAAGAAAGGACTAAAACCATCTGTGAGCTATATTCTGATCCGTCTGTATATTTCTGAAAGTTTTTATGTTTACCGAAGGAAAACATATTGTTTTGGGTCTGTTTCTTCCTCCTCTTCTTCTTCTTCTCCAAATAGTGACCTCTGACCTGACCAATGATATGAGATGGGGTTTTGTGCGCGTGAAAAATTTGCGCGTGAAAAACTTGCGCGTGAAGAATCTGCGCAAATTAGCTGACTCCCAAGGGATTTGAAAACTTTTTGCTGTTTTAAGCTTAAAAGTTGGAAAAAAGACAAGAAAATAAAAATTGAACATCATTTTGCTTGCATTCTAGACTACATACTCTTGTTTTGTCCATTTTTTTGTGATTTCAGGTTATTTTGAAAGGTAAAGTTATTTTGAAAGGTAAAGTTTTCAAAAAAGGTTGAAATTTGCGCGTGAAAGAATTTGTTTAAGAAAGCATGAAATCAAACTTCTAGAATGGAGAAAAGCTTCAGATTGTTACATTTTACCATCCTAAACCTCATACTAGTAACTTTTCCATGTATTTCTTACAAATTCAAGTGATTTTCAAAAGGTCAGGTTTTATGGAAATTATGCAAATTAGCTTATTCCCAAGGGACCAACATTTTCAAACAAAAATTTTGGCTAACAGAGGGAAAATTATACCAGAGGACAACATTAATTCCTGCCTAAGAATTTGGTACTGCATATTTTCTAACATATTTCTAAGACTTTTATTTTTCACGCGCAAGTTTTTCACGTGCAAATTCTTCACGCGCAGAAAACCCGTTCCCAATGATATGACTTGTTGACCATGGTGACTGGTGTTGGGTTTCATAATGTTGCAATTTCATGGTCTGGTCTGCTCCTGTCACCATATGCTAGCTAGTAGTACATGTAATGTGAATGTGTTTGAGTAAGAATTAACAGAAACAGCCTCCAGTTTAATTCCGGACTTCCAGTTTAATTCCGGACTGGCCTCCCATATCTCAGCCACCTTACACCCTGATGGGCTAAAATTGTAAACTATAGGTAAAAATGATGTAAGAAATACGTAGCCACCATCGATTGCCCCCTGGGAATTAATCTAAATTTGCAACATTATGCAGACCATGTCCGAAGGTAAACATTATGCAGTTTGAATTAATTTTCTAGTTCTTGCTGGTTTTTTTAGGATTGTCAGGAAAAGCTGGCATCCGAGCAGCAGCACAGCCAGGACCAGAAGCAGTCTGCAGACAAGGCCACCAATGAGCTGGGCCTGATGCGGGTCATGCTGGAGGACGTGAACCGTAAGCTGGTGGAGAAGGCTACCGAGATCGAGAAACTGCGCTCGGAGATCCGCGCGGTCAGGGTGGAGAGGGACCAGCTGAGTGTCAAGCTGAGGAATGAACAGGAGGAAAAGGAACTCTTCAAGGTATGAAAAAATGGTTCCCTTGAGTATCTTATAATAGTAACCTGCATAGTCCAGTGGCCTAATAGTCAAGTGACCATGCTGTTGGCCCAAGAGGTCATGAGTTTGAGTTTGTAGTTGTCAGACCAAATGAAATTTCTCAATGGTCCTGTACCAACTGCAGTGCTGGAAATACTGGGTGCATGTGCACCTTACTTTACTTTACTTACTTTACTTTATCCGGCCGCTTCTACCTCTTGGGGGGCGTCGCGGGGAGGTGGAGAAGGCGGTTCTGGGCAAGTCGAGTTGCTTGCTGCGGTGTCAGGCCATGCGGTGTGCACCTTAGTGCACCCAAATTTGGAGCTGTGCACCCAATTTTTTTGTGTGGGTGCACTGGTGCAAATATTTTTGTAGGTATTTTTGTACATATTGAATACAGGATATTCACAGAAAAATGAAATCTTTGTTGTAGTACATGTACTTGTTTAAGATTTTGAAGTTACAAATGTATAGCTTCTATTTTAGATTCAAGCTCAGAAGAGGAGCAGTTAAGTTTGGTTTTAAATTGTGCACCCCAAAAAATTTTTTTGCACCTAATTTTTTACCAAAAATGAATTTTGAGCCCTGAACTGTATATGTCATCTTTGTCTTCTCTGCCACAGTTAGGGAAACGAAACCTTGACTGTTCTAGCCTAGTTACCAAACCTATTTTAGCTGCCAAGTCTCTTTTGTCCTCTGTATACCTTCAACCTAGATCACTGTGAGTTGATGTTGCCTTCCCTTCCTTATCTCAGAGCCACTTCACGGCGTCAGAGCTGGAGAATAAGGAGCGGAGCCGTGAGATCCGTGAGCTGAAGAACCTGGTGAGAGAGAAGGAGTTCTCCATCGAGAAGTTCAAGTTGGAGGTCACCAAACTCAACCAGAACATCAAGGAGGGCAACAAGAAACTCCAGCGCCAGGAGTCCATCAGTCAGGCTGACAAGGTCGGTACAGGCCTCAAAATTTAATTTTCTTCCTAGGCCACACCAAATTAATTTCTTGGTTAACGGATTTTTTAATGAAAATAATGGAGCGGGCAGGCGAAAAAATAAAAATAAAAACAGGCCTAGGCATTCTATTATGGCCCAAAATGGTACGATAGGAGCCATGAAGTCAACACACCAGGCTGGTTCAAAATTTAAACAATGAATTTTGAACTTTTAATGATACCACTGCAGTGAAAGATGGAATAACTGTAACAACTAGGATGAAAAGGACTGTTTTCAACTGTTCAAGGCAAAATATGAGCATTTTGCAGTTGATTCTGAATTTTTATTTTTACAAATTCGTGCATCATCACGGGCATGCCTGCAGATGGCGTCTAAAATGTGCATGCTAATTAAACAAAGAGAACCCCTTGTTCTAGCTGCGAACACGAAAAAACGACTGTTCACAACACTCATGACCTCCTTCACGGAGTAACAAACCACCTGTTTTTCAGGAGCACATGAAAGGCCTGGAGGAGCGTCTGAGGAACACGGAGGACAAACTGGCCGCGGCCGAACAGTCCAAACTCCTGCTGGCCGAGGAACTGTCCACCGTGTCGGACGTACGCCACAAGGCACACTCTGACCTGGAGACGGCTGTCCAGCAAGTCGACACCTTAAAGATGAGACTGAAGAAGGCAGAGGAGAACTTTGCTAAGAAGGAGAAAGACCTGCTAGATGAGATGAGTGTGCTGAGGGGAGGCTTGGACGAAATTCTGCAGGTAATTATGGCTTCACCACTTTGTGTGTTAGCAGTGTGTTACCATATTTGGGCATGAGTCATCAGTTAGGCATGCAGAGCAAGCATCCAATAGGCATGCAGCTTTCCTCTATTCTACTTGCTGATTGGCTGTCCGGATTTGATTGGGTTAACTCAATTAACACCTTACAAAGCCATGCCATATTGACAGTATTAACTGCGCATGCATTCAAGTGTTTTGGTAGGTATGTCAAGCTTTCCTGCTCCAGCCTTGCAATGCGGGGCATAAACGCTTCTTTTTATCTTCAAAATCAACAGTTTTCATTATGCAATTAAAAATCCTAACCAATAATGTAGGGGATAGCTATCCAACTGTTGTCACTTCATACTAGTTATATCAAATTGTGTAAAGAATTGTTTTCCCTTGTATTTCTCCTTCTTTCCCTGCCATGTCGTGAAATGTGGTGAAGCCATGCTGAATTTGCTCCAAAGCAAATGTCGGCCTTTCTAGTTTTATTAGTGATTTACTTAGTTTCATTTAGATTATTTAAATTTACTTAGATTTACATTTAGTTTTATCTGTCTTAACGGAAGTTCATACATTTGTTGGAAGATTTACCAGAATTAAATATTTATTTTATACATCTTGTGGTATGCTCTTACTTCTAGGACAAAGACAAAATTGAAGCGGAACTTCAGCAGTACAAGGAAGAAGTAGCCACCGCGTCTGAGTCCACACAAACGTCTGAAGCCAAACCCAAGGCTGTGAAGGAGGACCAGGCCCTGTTCTTCTTGGAGACGGCCCACCAGAACCTGGAGGAGAGGTACAAGGACCTGCAGAAGGAGTACGAACAGCTTCAGAGAGAGAAACTGGAGATAGAGAGAGAGAAGGTAAACTACCTACTACATGTAGTAATGTAGTTAAAGTGCTCATGACACCAAAATATGACCTTAGCTGATTGTAATTGACATAACTAGTATTACCTGGCTAACAGACACATTTACAATAAATATGCACGGTTCTCCTGTTACATTCGACATTCTAATGCCCTGCCTTGGAAAAGTCAGCACAAGCCAGTCCTGGCAGGCGATTTGCACCTCTACATTTTATGTTTGCATGTCTGTATTTTTTCCTGAGCTGATGTCACCCAGTGATGTCAGCTCAGGAAAAAAACACAGAGATGCAAATAGAGATGCCCAAAGTGAGCAATTGGGAACCTTGGTAGAGAGTTTCCAACCTTGCAAGAGAGTTTCCAAAACGTCACTTTTAGAAGGCCGTACAAGCTCAATTTCTCAGTCATCATGATTGGAACAAACTTCAACACTGGGTCAAAGATTTCTGGTATTACTAAACAGATGAACTTTTATGAAATTTTGGAAGTCTTTAGAGATGGAAAACATTCTGTATTTGCCAGCAAATCTTATCAGTCTGGTTAGTGTTGTTTCTTACCTGACAAAGTTCTGGTTCTTTCTCAGGAGTCCTTGGTACAGTCTGAAGATGATCTGAAGCACCAGGTGGATGACCTGAAGGTCAGACTGGAGATGGGGGCGGAGGCGTACAGGGAGAAGTACAGGGAGTGTCACAAACTGGAGAAAACCATCAAGAAACTGGGCGGAGGGAAGGTAAGGAACACAGCATCTTATCATCCATCTTAAAGTTCATCTTCAAGATGGATGAACAAAGGATAATGCTCAATTTGATGATGAGCATGACAACAGTTTAACAGTCACCACTAAAGAACGTATGGATGAACTATTGACAGAAGTCAGTTGGCCACTGTAGACAGTCTGGTCCTTTGATCATATTTGTGGCGTAGTGGTAGAGCGTTCGACTATAAAGCGGGGAGACCCGTGTTCGATCCTGAGGTGTGAATGGGTACCAAACTTCGGTTGTAGAAAGTTGTATTGAGGTCACCTGGTGGGGCCGAATGGCAGACGCACAGACCCTTGCAACAGTTGCACAAAAATTTGTGGAACAAATATGTGTATTATTTGATTGTTGTATTATTATCATAATGTATTATTTGATTGTTGTGATTTATATTGATTATTATGTGATACCCTGCATCAATTCAGTCGTATAAAGGCTGCGACTGCACGGGTACTGTTTGGACAATAAAAACCATTAATAATTAGTGATTTTACATTATCCAATGGAGGACATTACGGTTCTAAGGAAAGTAAAACAAGAAACATTCAGGTAACCAGTATGTGTTTTTGTGTACTTTGTCAGGTGAAACGTGAGAAGTCCAGCTCTACTGAGCCAACCATCAAGGTGACAAAAGAGGAGTTTACAGAGGAAGTCACCAAGGAGACCAAGGAGGAAGAGACAACGGCCGAGCCCAAACAGACCAGAGTGGAAGAAACCATCAACGTCGCCCAGTCCGAGCCGGATGAGGCGGACAAGTCGTCGCCAGAGTTCGACATGACGGAACTTCAGACCCAGCTGACAGACCTGCATCACGAGCTACAGAACCGCTACGTGAAAGTCCGCAAGTACAAACAGCTGTACATGGTACGTACTAGGGCTACGTACCTTTTCGTAACATCAGGTACAGGTACAGGTACAGAGGTTTAGGTCCAGGTCCGGACCTGTACCTGTACCTGAAAATTCACTTGCGTCATATGTTCTACTGAAATTCTTCAATAATGACAGAAACATGAATAAAGTGTTGACAATTTGTCCTGTATCATTCAAAGAACATCAAATATAACCATGGATGATATAACTAGGTTTCCTATCTCACTTCTCACTAGTTCTCAGTCACCCTCCTAGTGACCCACACTTACTGAACTTGGGACAAAACGTCAAAGTCAAGAACCGAGTCCGGACTTATTACCATAAAAGACCATTTCACATTACCCCTTTTCTTTACAAACCAAAGAGAAACTAAGATTACTGTCTATTAGCAAAATGTGCCCCTCAAATTGTTGGAAATAGCAAACAAAATTGAGATGACGGGTAAAAAATTTCAGACCGGCCACGACACAGAATTACATGTAAGTCTACTTGATTGTCTTCTAACAGGAGGAGAGACAGCGTAACCTGGACCTGGTACAGGAACAGCAGGACAAGGTGGTGACCTTGGAGAGACAGCTGCAGGAGGAGCGGCGTCAGCGGCAGGAGGAGAAGGCCACATATGACAACAACATTCAGAGATGGTCCCAGAAGTTAGACCACCTGAGGGAGAGGATCAGGGTTCAGACTGACCATGTGGAGGACATGAAGGCCTACAGGACAGTAAGTCACAACTGGGAGAGGTGTTATGAAGCAAGTTTAAACTGTAATATCCAACTTACACAACAAATTGGACTCACCCAAATTTTTGACTGTACAACTCCAGTCTTTGTCAAGGAATGAGCAATCCACCGCTTCCGTGACGTCATGAAGATAACACACGTGACTGGCGCCTGAACATTCAGTCTCACTGGAAGTAAGAATCCTGGACTCAGAACCAGACTTCTTTGCACGAGGGATTTAAGAGGCCATCTACATCAGGGCATTACAACCATCCCTCAACAGAGACGGGGGGCGCCACAGACTTTCTGCAACCTATGATCCACTGATCACGGAGTCACGTGTGTTATCTGCGTGAAGTCACGGAAGCTGTGAATTGCTCATTCCTTGACAAAAACTGGAGTTGTACAGTCGGAAATTTCTTGTGTTGGAAATTACAGTCTAAACTTGCTTCATAATGACTTTTACGAACACAGATGAACCTTCAAGATAACTGGGAGAGGTGTTTGTTTGTTTTGTTAGTTTCTACTCTCTTTAGCCGGGATGGTCCTCTGTAGAAGACATAGAATACACACAGTGGGGTCCTGGAAGCAGCTACATTTTGTAAACTACAAATGAGTCTAATCATGAGACATTTTTTTTGTCAGTCCCTGGAGGATCGTGTGGAAGAGCTCCAGAGCCAGGTGGAGGAGTATAAACAGTACAAGGACGCCTGGGAAGATCCCATTCTGGACGGGGAGGAGACAGAGCCCCTCCTGCCTGCCTCGTCCCCCAGGCCTGAGGATGATGACTCCTCCCAGGACCTGCCACCCCCTCTAGACTTCCCCCCCTTGAGATATCCCAACCCTTACCTGAGTCAGAGTGTGCAGGTCAGTAGCAAGATTATACATGTATCTCCTCCACCTCAAAGACAAAATAGTTTCTTCCATAACTTCTTTGTACATTGTAGGGCAGGTCAATGTCCAGATCTGAAACTTTTTATGTCTAATTTAACAAGTCATCTTTAACAAGGCATCCAGTGCAGTTTTTAGGGCTTGGAAACCCGATTTTTCAAAGTCAATATATATAGTAGTCATTTGTCTACATAGTTAGTTGAATACACACTGTCCCAATGTATGTTGACCCTCATGGATCAAAAAATTTCTGACGGAATTCTGACGGAAAATTGTTACTGAAAGGTCCCTGGGCTGATTTTTAGGGTACCACCCGGAAAATAAAGGACTCATCTTGGGGCTTGTTTCTGCAGTTTTAAATGCCCTAAGTATGAAATGCTGACTCAAATATACCAATGTGAATCAGTATGTGTCGATATCACAAAGATTGCCCTATTCAGAATATTTCCAGTTTTACTGCCCTGAAATCGCATTGGAGGCCTTTAAGGCACCAAGTTTGGAAACATTCAAATGTAGTCAACTTTGTATGTTGATGTAATAAAGTTGTGAGTTACAAATGTATTTGAATTGTGGCCACTTTATGTCCAACTGCTACTGATTTCGTATGTTTTGACTGTGTATGCCCACCAGGAGCACCTGGAGTACCCCCACCCGTCTCCAGTCTACCCTAAGACGTGTGCGGAGTACCCCCAGTACCCTGAGCCGGCCCCCCCTCCCGCTGAGGCCGTCCCCATCCCTGTCTTCAACAGACAGTACAAGGGCACTCTGTGGACAGAGAAGGGCACCGACGGGGCCGAGGGGTGGACACTGGTCAGTTCACAGTAGACTCTGTTCAGCCATTTAAGGCATCCAATACATGTCCAATTCCAATGTGGCAAGGACACACCAATTTAATTTCTTGATTAACGGATTTTTCTAGAAAAATAATGGAGCGGGCAGGCGAAAAAAAAATAAAAACAGGCCTAGGCATCCTATTATGGCCCAAAATGGTACGATAGGAGCCATGAAGTCAACACACCAGGCTGGTTCGAAGTTTAAACAATGAACTTTGAACTTTTAATGATACCACTGCATTGAAATATGGGATGACTGTAACAACTAGGAAGGAAAGGACTGTTTTCAACTGTTCAGGGCAAAATATGAGCATTTTACAGATGATTCTGAATAATTTTTTTTTTTGTAAATCAGAAAAAAATGAAGCAGGCAAATCTGTTAACCAAGAAATTAAATTGGTGTGGCCCAAAGTTGAATTTTTGGTCAATTTTTTTTAGTAGTAGGTTGAGTCAATCCTAATCCCATAGTATATTGATAGGCAAAATTGTAATGTTGCTGACAGAAAATGGTTGCTTGGTTTGTATCGTAGGCTAATTTCAGCTTATGGGTGTTACACCAAAAACTAGAGTTCCCCGATCTCATACCTTCACCAAATGATGTTAATCTTTATGACTGACAAATTATAGATTAGATTATTCCCCCCTGATTTAGGAAATAGGAACCTAATTTTCATGAATTATATCATTTTATCATAATCTCAACCAAAAGACAGTCTTATATTAACAAACAATGCATTCTAACTTTTCCTAATAAATCATGCAAATGAGGTCCTGATTTGAATAAATTATGTTTAATGATGTTCATCTCAATTTAACTTTCAAATACCACAAGTATGAAATTCCAGGCAGTTATCATTACATAATTATAAAATTTTCCAATGAATTATGCAAATTAAGTCATTATTAACATAATCAATATCTTCCTGTGTTTCTCTCGTTGTCAATTACCAATGTCACAAGCTTCAATTGTCCTATCATGGAATGCAGATGATTTATAGAATTTCTCCATAAATTATGCAAATTACATCCATATTTGCATAATTGTCACATAATTATATTAAGCATCACGTAAGCTACCTACATAC